AGAAAAAAAGTGGATTGACTTTTTTAGAAACTAAGCCCTATATCTCGTGCTAATCAAATTAAATATCCATTAGTTGTATTTATTTTATATTTTAAGTAATAATCATTAAAATATAACTTTTTTATATTTAGTTCTGATAATGAGTTAATTATAAACCTTGTGAATTCTATTATAATTAAGTTTTTATTTCTTTGGTTGTATCTAGTTTTTTATTCTGCTTCATTTAAAAGCTCAAGTTTTTATTATTGAATTTAAAAATTCATAGACAATTTTAATAGAACTTTTTATTATTTTAGATACAACCAATAGTTTAAAATCTAAACACGCGAAAAGAAATTTTTAAAGAATTTTTAAATTGAAAAGAACAACCATATTTTTGGGTAATCTGGGAAGAATTAAGTGATGTCTTGCATATATAGCAAGATCTCTTTAGCATAAGAATATCACTGTAGGTGAGTTTCTTTTTGATTGGAATTCAGTAAAGTGTGAACTACATGGGAAAGACAGTGACTTAGCCAAAGAATTTTAATAAGGAATAATCAATATTTTTGCGGATCAATATGATCAATAAAGAATGATCAATAAAGCTTTTTGCTCAATAGAGACATTTGCTTTTCTCAATAGAGACATTTGCTGTAGTTTATTAAGTATTAGGCATTGCTGCATGCTTATGGCCAGTGAAGACAATTTTATAAAATACACATTAAAAATTTAATACTTCCTAGGATAGCTGCAGCTAATATATATATTTATATAGTCTTTGGAAAAATTACAAACTGATTCAGCTTGCAAATAAAATGAGAGTTATGAATTCATAAAATCAAAAAGGAAATATTGTGCGGCTCTTTTATATTTCATGTTACTAACCCCGACACAGAAAATGAGGAAAATAATTTTCCAGTTGCAAAGATCAAACTTATTTAAGCTGTGTGAACAGAAGATTGAAGAGAATTCTTCTGAAGAACAAACTCAGATCCAAGTTCATACAATTGAAACAGAGTATTGAGCAACTCTAAAAACAATTCCAGTTGTTTATAAACATTGAAATTTGTTCAATGTTTATAAACAACTCTTCCAGCCTAGATGAGTTTTTAAAACTTTACCATTAAAAGCAGTTGAGTGCTTCCTTTAAGTTTTACGGGATGTAAATCGTAACAGTGTTTTAAAGTCATACATGATTTTGCAATATGCATTTTCGCATAAAATTTAATAAAGTAATGCTTAAAATAACCTAATTTTTATTTTTCGTTTTGACAAAAAGCTGTTGTTGGTGGATAAAATAGTTATAAAAATTGGTGCATCTGAAAAATTATTTTGAAAATTGATTGTTTACCAATCATCCATTATTATGGCTGTTTTATTCAATTAATAAGCATTTCATTTAATGCTATGTTACTTGCAAATCAAGCTACAAAATGAATGTAGACTTAATAAAATACTTTTAACAAAATTGTTATTCTTATATAATACTTGCTGGTTTAAAAATTTTCTATAAAAGAGTTGACACATGAACTGTATGGTTTTCTCAAACAAAAATTTTCATAGTCATACTATTCTCATTAATTTTTTATTATTCAGTAACTAATGGACAAATTAACTTTTTTGTTTAGCTCATATGAAAAAATTTAACAATTCCTTATTATTTTTCCGAGATTTTCTCATCCGCAAAAACTCCAGGTAGTTAAATTAAACTATTTAATTTTAAAAAAAATGTCAGATGAACCATCATTTTTTACCCCATAGTCCCCAGTCCCAAAAAATCGATGGAATCGTTATCCTTGGTTCAAAGTGAATTTCTTTGTCACTTTTTAATGTTTCAAAACTGTTCTGCTGAGTTTCTGCTTTAATCCTTTCATTGTTGCTTACTTTAATCCTTTCATTGTTTCTTGCTTTAATTCTCTCATTGTTTCTTGCTTTAACTCTGAGGAGAAATAGTCAAAGAAAAAACTTATATTAATTAGCTCCTCGGACAAGTGTTAAAAGAAAGAGTCAATATTAGATTGACTTTGCAGTTTCTGATATTTAATTTTTATGGTCAAGGAAGCTTCCAATTTCTACAACTGGGTTAAATGATTGACTGACACAGCTGCTTGGTGAGGACATTTAAATAGTCAATTACAGTAATGTCGAAAATAGGTTAAACTCCAAAAGTACATTTGATGCTATCTATCTATCTATCTATCTATCTATCTATCTATCTATCTATATATATATATATATATATATATATATATATATATATATATATATATATATATATATATATATATATATATATATATATATATATATATATATATATATACATATATATATATATATATATATATATATATATATATATATATATATATATATATATATATATGTATATATATATATATATATATATATGTATATATATATATATATATATATATATATATGTATATATATTATATATATATATATATATATATATATATATATATATATATATATATATATATATATATATATATATATATGTGTATGTATTTATATATATTTATATGTATATATATATATATATATATATATATATATATATATATATATATATATATATATATATAAATATTAATTTTTTGTAGAATTTGTGAAAAGTGGCGTGATATAGTGTTGTTTAATATTTACAAAAAAAATATTTCTAAAGAATTGATTATACTTTGCATTTTTAAGTTTTAAGGTTTTATACGCTAAGTATATTTACTTTAGTACATGCATTAACTGAAACATGCATTTAACCCTAATACTAGATATAATCCCAAGGTTATGAAATTGAACCAAGCCTATACCTACCTAACTAAATTAACCCTAATGATATGATTAACTCCAACGCTATTATAACTTTATATTATTATATTATTATTATTATATTATTCTATTTTTATATGATTGTTTATTAATTTCTGCTTTTAGCAAGTAGGCAAAGCATACTTGTCTGAGAATAATTATGAAACTGAACCACTTCGGTCTGTTTGTAAAAGACTAGCAGAGAAACTTTCTCAGATATGGATTAAAGCATCAGTTCCTACTATAAGTCTTCGAGGCATAGAATTACAGCTGGAGAAGTACATAGGCGATGATCAGAAAGTGATTTGATCAAAGTCTACAACAGTCAAACAAGATGAAATAGAAAAAGATCTTGACACATTGTTTGACATTTGTTCGTGTAAATGCAAAGAACTTTCGTCTTGTTGCTGTCCAATGGTTCTGAAGGTGCCAGCAATTAAGCATGACTTCCTAACTGATCAATGCACTATACGTGTTGGCAGAATAGCTGGAATCGACAAGAAGGAATTTGCACGTGCTGAGAGGCGTTTAAAACGAAAATCTGTTTCATTATCAAAGGAAGAGACTGCAGTTAAGTGTGCCAGAGTCGTTGAAGCATCTAATAATGACTCAGATAATGAAACAGACAACAATTCTGACACCAAAACTTATTCCCCTTCCGTATCAGATGTCGATACCGAAGTCACATCTACTCGTCTGAAAAACCGTTGTTTAAAAAATATTGCTTTACAAGCTGATGGTTTTGGCATATCAGATAGAGCAGTTGCCGCGATTGTATCAGCAACTCTGGTTGATTTTGGTATAGAACATATGGGGCCAGTGGATCAGAATAAAATTCGCAGAAAACGAAAACTACTGAGAACATCCTGTAAAAATGCTGATTGTAGAATTACTGGATTGTATTTTGATGGAAGGAAAGATCAGACTTTAAAACTTGAGGGGGATAGGCAGACTGTGATTTCTGAGAAACATATTTCCATTTTATCAGAGCCAAATTCAAAGTATGTTGTACGCCAACAAGTACATTAGCCAAATCCATTGCAAATTCAATAATTGATACTGTTGACTGCGTACAAAGTATCATTGTACGCCAACAAGTGGATCAGCCAAATCCATTGCAGATTCAATAATTGATACTGTTGACTGCGCAAACCTTGTTTGTATTGGTTCTGATTCAACTAACGTTAATACTGGTTTAAACAATGGAGTTATACGCAGAATAGAAATTGAACTTGGTCGACCACTGCACTGGTCCATTTGTCTTTTACATCTGAACGAGCTTCCTTTGCGACATCTTTTTCACTCCTTAGATGGTGCAACAACTGGACCCCATTCATTTAATAGACCAATTGGCAAGTCTATTTCAATGTCTGTTCAGAAACCCATAGTCAGCTTTGCCATAATTGTTGGTGAACCTATTATATGCGATAAGCAGTCAACTGTACTTTTTCGAAATTGTTAATGCGGTAAAGACAGGTGTTGTACCAGATAGATTTAATTCTAGAACACCTGGGCGACTAAACCATGCAAGGTGGTTGACACTAGGAAACTGTGTTCTACGCCTTTATATATCTACTGAAGATCCATCAAATGAACTAATACTTTTGGCTAAATTTATTGTGAATGCAAAGTATAGCAAAGTAGTAGTGAAAAACGGTTTGCAGCATTGCATTCAGCGTATTTGAGAGCCAATTACTGGAAATTCCCAAAGAAATTTTCGAAATTTTTTTAAGTTATGATCCGGCCTAATATAAATATATATATATATATATATATATATATATATATATATATATATATATATATATATATATATATATATATATATATATATATATGTATATATATATATATATATATATATGTATATATATATATATATATGTATATATATATATATATATATATATATATATATATATATATATATATATATATATATATATATATATATATATATATATATATATATATATATATATATATATATATATATATATATATATATATATATATATATATAAGGACTGTTCTAGGAAAAAAATTTAGGCAGTGGTATCCCAGCGGTATCAAAAACAGCCTAAGATAGCCCCTGAATTATATTTATATATATATATCCACTTACTAAAGCGTGTTTTGATAAGCATTTGCTCACTTTTTTTGCTTACCTTCAGCTATACCGTTTATTTCGAAAAAGAAGAAGAAAAAACGAAGAATGATGAATGAAACTATTGCTTCCCCATCCCAAACCCTCAGTCGATGTAGCAGTACTCCACTACGAGTCAGGCTATTTGTCAGTCGATGTATGTACTAAAGCCCCCAGCAGCAGGCTATTTCAGTATGACGTCAGATTGCTTACAATAGTACGCAATACTATTTGTGTGTATATATATATATATATATATATTTATATATGTATATATATATATATATATATATATATATATATATATTTATATATATATATGAATATATATATATATATATATATATATATATATATATATATATATATATATATATATATATATATATATATATATATATATATATATATATATATATATGAATATATATATATATATATATATATATATATATATATATATATATATATATATATATATATACATATATATATATATATATATATATACACTATATATAACACTATCTATATATACACTATATATAACACTATCAACAATCAGCACTTAACATTAAATACTAATATATAAACACATGCATACATACATCGTACATACATACATACATACATACATACATGCATACATACATACATACATACATACATACATACATACATACATACATACATACATACATACATACATACATATATATATATATATATATATATATATATATATATATATATATATATATATATATAATATATATATATATATATATATATATATATATATATATATATATATATATATATATATATATATATATATATATATATATATATATATATATATATATATATATATATATATATATATATATATATATATATATATACATATAACACCTCATAAATAAAATTTTGGACAAAGTTTAAAAATTAGTACTTTAAGAACTAATAAGTTTTATTTTTTTAATATTTCAACTGTTAATATGTTAGTATATATAGTTTATAAATATAATTATATTAAAATAATTATTTCAAATACAATATTTAGCAATATTATAAAGTTTTTTTGAAAGATATTTTATTTGAGTAAGGAAAATTTCTTTATTCATTTTTGAATAGCAATATCTAAGTCTTGCTTCAAGCTCTTCTAAATTCTCAGCTCTCCAATTATTCTCGTACACTAGCCGTTTTTAATCACCCCAAAAGTTTTCAATTGGTCTTGCTTCTGGAACGTTAGCTGGGTGTGTATCTTTGGGTACAACTTTGATTTTTTTCAATTTTAAAAAGTCGATGACCGACTGCATAATGTGATCGAGCTAGATCAGGCCAGAAGATAAATTCATTTTTATAATCATCACTCTTTTTTATAATATTCTAATACTAGAGGAAGTAATGTTTTTTCTAGTATCTTTTTATAAGTGTACTAGTTGATTGCCTGTTTACTGTGATGAATATAAAGAGGGTTTATTCCAAGGGGGCTGATGCAACAAGAAACTAAGAGCTTGTTCTCGTATTTTTTACGCTCGTATCTTACAACTTCAGAACATTGAGAAGGATCAGCGGCATAAAACCTATCATTACTAGCATTAATAGTTTTCATCATCATAATAAAATCCAAGTTTTTATATTTTTCGTACAATTTACAACATTTAGGACGCATAGCTTTCTTCTGCTGATGACTAAGATCTGGACGATTTGTTTTTTTGAAAGTTCGAATGTTAGTCATTATTTTCAATACTTGGGAAATTCGAGTTTGACTACAGTTAAAAACTTGAGCTACTTTCTTTTGGGAGCACCCTAACTTATTTTCAAAAAATGCAGCAATCTTTGGAATAATTTCTTTAATAGCTACCTTAGCGATTCGACTACTTCCAACTTTTCTTTTTAGAGATCCATTTTCCAATTTTACGATTTTGTTGTAAGCAGTTGATCTGGGTAAACCCAATTCCATAAACTGCTTAGCAATAAATGCTTTACCATTTTCTTGATTTTTTTGGGAAAAAAATTTCCATTATTTTTTCGAGGTCCTTTAATTTGACCATTTTAATTTCAATATTTAAATAATATTTTTAACTTAATTAAATTAAATTTAAATAGATTATAAAATCCTCTTTCAAATAAGTATAAAGGTTTTTTGTGTGCATGAAATAAATCACATAATAAATGCAAACAAAATTTGTCCGATATTTTATTTATAGGGTGTTAAATATATTCATATATATATATATATATATATATATATATATTCGTTATAATATATATATATATATATATATATATTCGTTATATATATATATACATATAAATATATTTGTTATATATATATATATTCGTTATATATATATATATATATATATATATATATATATATATATATATATATATATATACATATATACATATATATATATATTCATATATATATATATATATATATATATATATATATATATATATATATATATATATGTATATATACATATATACATATATATATATATATATTCATTATATATATATATATATATATATATATATATATATATATATGTATATATATATATATATATATATATGTATATATATATATATATTCGTTATATATATATACATATAAATATATTTATATGTGTATATATATATATATATATATATATATATATATATATATATATATATATTATATATATATATAACTATTTTATAATAATGAAATCAAAATGCATTTAGTGTAACTGCTAATCTAATTGAAGATCAAGGCTATTGGAAAAGGTGTTTTATATCATCATGGGGAATAGCTGATGAATCTTTGTATGACCATGACTGGAAAAGAATGTATTTTGAAAAAAATTTGGAAGGTTAATTGAAACTTGTGTATATATATATATATATATATATATATATATATATATATATATATATATATATATATATATATATATATATATATATATATATATATATATATATATATTATATATATATATATATATATATATATATATATATATATATCCTTATAGTGTAGTCGAAAGAGACTTTTATGGTAAAAAAAGTCTCTTTCGACTACAATTTTTTTACCTTGTCTCTTAAGCTGCATTTTATTGTCGTCAAAATGTTAAAGCAATTATATTAATGCGGAAGTACATTAAATTTTATTGTTTTTTAAAAAAACCACAATAATAATGACTAGAAAGTTTTTTTTAATTAGTGGTGTTTTTGTTTTTGTTTTATTAAAAAACATTTTTAAAGCATGCGTAAGTGTTGCTACATCGACTATCTTATAGCCTGCTGCTACAAGGGAGTGTTGCTACATCGACTATCTTATAGTCTGACTTGCAACAAAGTGCTGCTACATCAACTGACAAATAGCCTGACTCGCAAGGGAATGCTGCTACATCAACTGAGAGTTTGGTTTGGGCAGCCAGTCTATCATTTAAAATTTTTAAATGATAATATTTTAAGTTTTTTAACATTTTCTGGTCAGGCTTATTAACGCATTCTTTAAAACAACAGTTTATGGGAAAAACTTTGTGACTACCATGCAAGACTATATATATATATATATATATATATATATATATATATATATATATATATATATATATATATATATATATATATATATATATATATATATATATATATATATATATATATATATATATATATATATATATATATATATATATATATATATATATATATATATATATATATGTCTATATATATATATATATATATATATATATATATATATATATATATATATATATATATATATTTATATATATATTTATATCAGAAATCAGAATACGATGAACCTAAAGTTAGAGAATTACTTGAAATTAATTACGCCTCAACATACCAGGAAATAAATCACGCTCCTGTACTTCTTAACCATGACAAAGTCATTAAAATTTCTACAAACAGTTGGAGACCCTTTTTTAAAAAAACTATCAAAAAAAACGGATTTAAATAGTATTTGCTAATTATATATTTACATTGTTACATATCATTAATGGCTTCTTTTTAATGTCTTCTTTGACGTTTTTATGTAATATTTGTAACGTTTTTTTTGTATTATATTTTACGTCTGACGACAATCTGTGCAAAAAAAGGTCAAAATATTACAAAGAAAAAATTTAATTTGTACGCAGCTGTTGTTTTATGCTTTATATTTTAAATGCTGCTCCTTTACAGCACCATTATTTTATAAACAGTATATGGATGACATAATTGCTATATGAATATGAAGCTCACGAATTTTTCAAACACCTCAATAAACATAAAAATTAAAAATTTACTATGGAAAAAGAACAAGATAACCAGATTGCCTTTTAGATGTACTTTTTAAAAAATCCAATTCATTTTCGACTTATAATCGGTCTTGTAATTGTAATTGTAAATACTGGTCTTTTACAAAATGTTTTAAGTTTTATTCCTTTTTGCTACAAATTTGGACTTGGATTGGTTTTGATAAAGATATTAAGAATCTATCATTAGTTTTACAAAATAATATATTTCCACAAAAAAATTATTGACTCTAAAAAAATTATTGAAATTAAATCTTATATTGATAAGAAAATGAACCCATCTGTTTCTAACATTGTAAATAGCTCAAATATAAGAAACTTAAAGCTTTCATACATTGGAATGTACTCTAGTTATACTAAAATGAAAATTTCAAAAACTGTTCATAAATATTGCAAGGATGTTCAAATAAAATTAATTTTCACTACTAATAAAATACAAGATTGTTTTTGCTTAAAAGAGTCACTTCGTAAACTGCTTAAATCTCATGTAGTCTATTAATTTTCTCGCGCTGGCTGTAATGCCAGTTACATTGGAGAAACCTCCAGACATTTGGCAACTAGAATTAATGAGCACCTTAAAAGTGATAAACAATCTCAAATATTTAAACACTTGAATTTATCTGTTAACTGCAAAAATTTGGCTGACTGTGATTCTTTTGACATTTTGGATAATGCTCCAACCAAACACAAATTAAAGATAAAAGAAGCCCTCCACATTAAATAGGAAAGTCCCTCACTTAATAAACAAACTTCACAATATGCTATAAACTTACCTATTTAATTTTACTGTCAGTTTATTATTATTATTATTTTTTTTGACAGCTAGTTATTCTGACTGGTTATTTACTGAGTTATTTTGTAATAAATATATTGGTTCATTATGTAAATTTTTGTCCGTTATTATTTCTCTGTAAAGACTTATATATATATATATATATATATATATATATATATACATATATATATATATATATATATATATATATATACAGTGGTTTTCATAAATTTAGACGCACTCATATTTGAGAATAGAAAATTTTAGGTATTTTAACGATAAAACAATGACGAAAAAAGATTTCGGTTTAGTTTTTTTTCTATTTATCAGATAAATACATACAGAATACAAAATTTAAAAAAAGTTTACAAAAAATGAAATACTAAGTAATAATTAGGTACAACTACATGGTATTAAAAAAATTAGACAAAAAAAATTATTCATAAATTTAGACGCACGATACATTAGAAGGCGTAATTTATGAACCAATCAATATTTTGTGTATCCGCCTTTTGCTTTAATACAACTAAGAACTCTTCTAGGCATAGACTCAACAAGATTTTTGCGCATCGCTTCTGGGACCCCATACCAGGTCTCCTTAAGGAATTCCTTCAGCTGACCAAGTGTGGAAATTTGAACCTTTGCTAATTCACGATCAATCCAAGCCCAAATGTTTTCAATCGGGTTCAAATCAGTTGAATATGGAGGCCACGGTATTGTCATAATATTATTATCGTTGAACCACTCCTTTGTATAGTATGCAGTATGTGCAGTAGCGCTATCTTGTTGAAGTTTCCATGCTTTATCATTGAGCATAAGCAGGTCAATTGATGGAATTAGGTTATTTTCCAGTACTTCTACGTATATTCTGGAGTTGATTCTTCCGGTGTATGTTTGGCACATACCAACACCTTTGTAATTGAAGCATGACCAGATTCCTATCGAGCCTCCTCCACTTTGTACAGTTGGTCTAATGTACCTGACGTAATACTTTTTGTGAGCCATTCTTTTGACTGTTATGTTAGATTTGCGATTGATAAGCTCAAAGTTACTCTCATCACTCTTTATAATGTTTTCCCATTGATCTATTGTCACCATTTTACGACACCATTTTAGTCTCCTTTGTTTATCATATGGACGCAGAAGCGGTTTCTTCAAAGCAGTGTAGACTCCAATTTTGTATTTGATAAGTATTCGGCGGACTGTGCTTTGAGAAATAGATGTATTTCGCGTTGTATTGAATTCTGTGGTCAATTCTTTGTAACTAATTCTTGGATTAGCTCTGACAGCTCTAAAAAGAACACTATCGTCCTTTCTCGTGGTTGGCAAGGGTCTACCTGGCCTCGTTTTCTCGCTGGCACCACCAGTGTGAAGAAAGTTTTGTTTTGTTGTCCGAACGCATTTCTCAGAAACTCCAATTAACTTGGCGATTTCTCTATTACTTTTGGTTCCTTCTTTGATGTGCGCAATAATTTGCCATCTTTCACCTTGAGTGATACAACTTTTGCCCATTTTTTATGTTTTTTTAGTGCAAAAATAACTTAACTTTTGTTTATTTATTAAATAATGATTAAATAATTCCAGGTAAGTCATATTTATATAAGGTTTTTTGACAAAATCAATTAATTTAGGCCTATTAATGAGAAATATAAGAAGAAAACTACTAATTAACAATCAATTAACAAGATATAAGACTTTTTTAATTGTGCGTCTAAATTTATGAACAAAATAAAATCAAGTTTATCAATTAACTTTTTCGTGTTAATCGGTATAAAATGAGTAATAAACATCCTGTAAAAAAAATTAAGGTACTCTATAATAGAGTTTTATTTCCTCTTTTAAATTATATATCAAACATATCGGTAGCACTTTTATTTTATTTTTATTTTGAGTATTTTCTTACACATATGAAAAAAAAAATGAATGCGTCTAAATTTATGAAAGCTACTGTATATATATATATATATATATATATATATATATATATATATATATATATATATATATATATATATATATATATATATATATATATATATATATATATATATAAAGTGTAATTAAATATAAAAATACAACTTTATAATGGAACTAAAAGTTTCATGCCTATCGGCAATCTTCAGCCATATATATTATACAAATCAAGAAAAAACCGTTAAAAAATACAAAATACAAAAACAGCAGTAGAATGAGTTCCGACGTCAAAACAAAACGAATAAAAAAGAAGCATAGTTGTAAAACTGCTAATCGCCAATGTCAAATTGGGCAAGAAGAAATTTGTTTTTATGCCGTCACTTAGATAATATTTCACTCTTTTTATTTAACAAATTTGGGTGTTTGAAAAATAAAATTTCATACTTTTCGTTTAAGCATAAGTTACATCGTTTTGTTACAGGGTTATAGGCATCGCACTGTTTAATTATTTTCCACCTAACAACCCGGTTTAAGTTTTCATCTTTTAATCTCCGGTCCAAGTTTTCATCTTTTAATCTCCTTTGATAATTCAGTGTCATTTTTGTATTTGGGAATTTTAAAAGATTTTATGTGATTAGCATATCTAATTTTAAATGATGTTTCGCTTATGCCAATGTAAAATTTATTGATGGGAGTTTGAACAAGATTGTTTGAGCATACATTAGTTTGATATACTATATTTTTTGTTAAGCATTGGTTTGATAAAGGGCAGGTATTTTTATCTATGCAATTGCAATTATTTTCAGCTGATTCTTTCTTGTTGTTTATAACATGGCGATTGTGGGCGTTTAAAACGGATTTCATATTAGGCATACAGCTATAACTTACTTTTAATGTGTTTCTGTTAAAAATTTTGTGCAACTTGTGATTTTTAGGGAAGTGCTTATCAATTAATGTTAAAAATATTTTTCCTTTATTTGTGCTGACGTTTTTGCTAAAAGGCGGGTTGAACCAAATGATGTTACGTTTACGGTTCTTCGTGTGAGATAATATTAAGTTAGGTTGGTAAGAAAGATTGTAATTAAAACTGGACTTTTTTAATGCTTCATTATACATTAAAGTGGATTTTTGAAAGATTTCCTGGCTTGACGAATTTGCTGATAATCTTAATTCAATAGAATGTGGGAGTTCCTTTAAAATACTGGATGGGTGGTTTGATTCAGCATGAATGTAATTTAAAGAGTTTCCGGGTTTAGAGTAAGGTTGGTAGGTGTGGTTGTTGAGGTTTAATGTAATGTCCAGATAATTTACGATTTTTATGTTGCACTGTGTTGATATCAGAAGATCGTTCGATTTAAATATTTTAACAATATGTTTTTTAATTTTTTCCATATGGGGACCACTGATGTTTTTAAAAATCGCCAAACCGTCATCACGGTATAACCCGAAATCATTCTTATTATAAAACTGTGTAATCTGAAATAAAACCAGATAATTTTATATATATATATTTATATATATATATATATATATATATATATATATATATATATATATATATATATATATATATATATATATATATATATATATATATATATATATATATATTTGTATATATATAATTACATAACATAATGACATAACATTACTTAACATATTGGATTTCCACCTTATCCCTAGAAGTATCATGCTTAATCATATTATTTTGCATAAATGTTCTTTGAAGTTTTATTAATGTATTGATTTTAAAATTTTAACTAGAGAGTTTAAGCTGATACATTTGTTGTTTTATGCTTTAAGCTGATACATTTGTTATTTTATGTTTTATCAGGTCATATAGAAAACTTTATACCTGGTACAACTGATCCTTCATTGGTAAGTTAAATTTGTTTTTGAAAATAAGCTTTAATAATTATAGAAGTATCATGGTCACACACAGATAGTTACATGGCAACACACAGATACATACATGATCATACACAAATATATACACACATGTATCTCTAAAAACTTAAATATACAGACATACATGTAGAAACTTCACATGCAAACTAAGCAAAGTAGGTTTTCACTATCTATCAAAAACTGTTTTTATTTTTTCACAGCTTTTTATATAGTTGTTAATTATTTTATTACTTTTTATATTATATACTTTTTTTATCATTCATATTATCAACACAAACAACAAGAAACTTGAGTTATTTGCTTTATATTAGTTAAATGAAACTTTGAAGTTATCAGGGAAATTCATAAAACGCTTAGAAATCAAACAGCTTCTTCCTCCAATTAAAGTACCTCAGCAAAATCTCAATGATAGTTTTTCTGACTGGTATGTTATTTTTTTTGGATCTATTTTGTAGATCTATTATAAATGTATGTTCATACAAATAAGTAAAACAAAATTATACAGGGTTTAAAGTTATGACCATTGAATCAAATTAAGCTAAGTAAAATAAAAACAGTCTAGAGCAAAATTAGTTTTTACTTTTTTTTTGTCTCTATATGTAACAATCTTAAATTTCAAACATGAAACTGATGCAGTGCTTATTTGTTACTAACATATCAAATCTTTTTTTATATTTCTGTATTTATTTTAATTTTTGTATTACTTTTCAAGCTGCAGTTGTTTATTGCAATAAAACAAATCAAAATAAGTTATGCTGACAGTATTATCACACAGAGGTTTAAAAAAATTTAAGCAGAATATATTTTGATTTGTATTTTTCTTTATATAATAAAATAGAATTTGTTTCTTTATATAATAAAGAATTTATGTTGATTTGTATTTTTTTTTTAAATGTGTTTAGAAATTTTTAGGTTTACTTATTTTTAAGTTTTTCAGTTTACAATTATTTTGTTTAGTTTAAGAAAAAATTGATATACTGTCACATAGTATTATACTGTTGTTATACTATTATACTACGAAAACAAAATAAATAATTAAAACAATAAAATTTATAACTTTAGTGAGAGCGATTCAGAAGACAATGTATTTGTTGGTGATCATTTTGACATAAACATTTTGGTGAAATTTGTTCCCTGTTTAAATGAACTAAGCCTTTATTATGGGTAAATTTGTTTTGCAATAAATAAAAAAAAACTAAATTAAAAGTAGAAGTTGTAATTTTAAGTTTTTATTAAAAATTGAGGAATCAAAGTCATTAGTTGTAATAACTTTATTGCTTAGTGACATAATATAATGTGAAAAAAATCTTGTTTTTATTTACTTTTGGTTTTATCAGTTAACCCAACATCAAAAAAGTGAATCTTTTTTTTTAAACTGAATATTTATTTTTCGTTAAATTATTTTTTTTTTTTTCGTTATTAGAAATTTATATCATTAGAACTGGAATAGCAATGTTGTTTTTTATAAATAATATCTTTTCTATTTAATATTAAATTTAAATTTATTATTAAAATTTTTTATGAAGCGTGCAAAAGTGTGGAATGAATTTTGAATGGAATTTATTTGAGTTTACAATGAGAGATTGTTCTCTCTTAGCAAAGTTATGTTTTAACTATTTTGTAGTTATTTTATAATTATGTAAAGTTGGCGTAATGCAATCATTTTAGTAGCAATGTAAACATGAAGTTTTTACTTTATAGGCTTTACCCCTTTTCTCGCAGTTGACATTGTTTCAGTTGTGCAAAAGCAAAGTAGATGATGTCAAAGCTAGAGTAATTATAAAAAGTATAATTGATCATCCAACACTAAAGACACTCGGTAATTTTGTTTAACTTTATTTTATATATTGATAAGATAATTGATTGATTTTTTTTTAAAAGTTATGCAGGCATTATATGTTTTCTTGGTCCATTCTGAAAGGCATAAAATGAATATGAACATTTTAACCATAAATCATGATAGTATAAAGAAGGCTGTTATTGACATTGAGTTCACGTTTCATCACGAAAAAGAAAAAAAGTTATAAATGTTTAACATGAGCTCAAATTAATAAAGTTACTCACAGTTATGCAAATTTCATTAATCCAATTAAAACAATTGTTTTTAGATTTTTCCCACAACAAGCTCGGTGATAAAAGTGCAAGAGCAATCGGAAAACTATTAAACAACCATTCCCATCTTGTAAAACTTGATCTCAAGGATAATCATATATCAGGAGCAGGTGCTGCAGCTATAGCATATGCTATTGAACTTAACTCTACTTTAAAGTTTCTAAATTTGCAATTGAACCAGTAAGTTAATCTTTTTTTTCTTATTAATTTTCAGTGATGAAATTATACTAAAATAGCAATTTAGAGAATAAATGAGGATTCGGGTTTTGACAGTATAAATCTATGTATAAATATGTAAATACATGTATACTGCTTGTAAATAGATTGTAGCAGTATACATGTATGCTTTGTATACATATATATGGAAGGCCGGATTAAGGGTATTAGGGGTCAGGTGCAAAAATTATTTGGGGGCCCTATTCTTAAAAGAATATATTCAAAAACAACTTTTTATTTCACAGAAAAATGTTTATTCATAGATAAATTTTTGTTGTTTTCACATTGGCTAAGTCAATTACAGCATCTTCAAAAATTATATTTGGTAAGTTCTTTCAATTTTCATTAAACAAAGAGCATTTAAACAACCATACAACATTAAGGAACAAAGATCAATCTTATGCTTTTTCATGTTTGAAAATGCTCTTTCTGCACTACAATTAGAAATGGAAGGGTTAGAAAAATCAGATGTGCAATGTCAGCATTGGAAAAAACTGATTCTTATTTATTTCTATGAGTTTGTAAACACTCTAGTGCTGATATATTCTTCTCATTTTCCATAAACCTGGAAAACTTAACAATTAAATCATAGAATTGTGTACCTAAGTCTAAAAGATTAAAAGTACACAAGGATTTGGCAACAACTGCAGGAGCGATCATTTTTGGAAAACTTATTAGAAAGCCAAAGTTTCTCTCTGCAAAATTGTAAGCAGAAATTTTTTTTTTAAGCATGTTTTCACTTATCTATGACAGGGAAGAAGTGTTTAGTTTTAAATTTGTCAATTAAAACCACTTCATTATGCCTCTATTCTCATTAATTTTTACTTTGTACATCTGCTTTAGAATAATGCTTAAAAACATTCCAGCGCATTTTTAAATGTCAAAAAAAGATTTGCAAATTAATGTCACATATTTCAAAAAAGATTGAAGCAATATTATTTTACATTTTTTATAGTTATATTATTTTACGTATTAAAAAACTGGATATTTTCTTCAATTTTAGGTCCTTGCTGTAGTGGTATAGAAGCCTTAACAAATCCACAATTGCATTGGCATCTTTATTTAAAAAAACAGGGGCCCCTGCTGGTACCCCAGTTTTTTGGGGCAGACACAGCTGCACCTATGCGCTCGGGTTAATCCAGCATTGCATATATGTAAATTATTATAGTCTAATATTCTACTAAATTTTTTTTTTCAGTTCTTTATTAAATCCACACACTTGTTAATGAAAAAGTTGAAAATGTTACAACTTACATACATAGGTACTGCTTGCCCAAAAAAACCCCTTGAAGATACATCTTATCGGTTCAATACTTAATAAACCAATAATTAACTTGTGGGCGCAAAAAACTGTATATCAGATCAATTAGCATGTCTAATAGTAATGCTTAACTTGTTACAATGAATAAAATGAAAATTGATTGTTTTGTAATTTTTTTATAAAATTGCAATAATTGTTTTGTAGATTTTTTCAATTTAGAAAGTAATAAAATTATTTAGTTAATAAATAATTAAAAGTAACAAGAAGTTAATAAGGTAAAAAGGTAGTAATAAAATTTTTTTACAAAAAAATAAAATAATTCAAAACTAATTTAACAATAGGCTGGTTGAATAAAAAAAAGCAATTGTTTGTACTCAGCAAGTAAAAACAATTGTTTGTTTTTTTTGTTTTTTTTTTGGATTAACTGCTCGGCTTTACATGGATAAAAATTTGGGCAATTTTTTTAAGTTTTATTCATGTAAAGCTGAGCAATTACTCGTCGTTTTTGAAGTAAATCGCTCAGCTTTACATAAATAAAAATTTGAGCAATTTTGCTTAAATTTTTATTCATGTAAAGCTGAGCAATTATTCCAAAAACACTGAGTAAAAATAATTTTTATTTATTCACCCAGCCTAATGTGTTTTGTAACTTTGTAGGAATCATGCTTTACTCATTATCATTATTTTGATGTTTGCATTTTAAAATCCCAAACAAAAGCAAAAGTTACAAGGATTGCTACAAAACTGAACTGTGAATACTTTGAACTGTGAATGCTTTAATTGCAAGATTAAAAAACAAAAGCTTTATCATAGTCCAGCTAAAAACAAAAAAATCAAGTAATATACATTGTCAAGCTCAAAAGAGCTTCAATTATAAAAAAACATAAAAAAAATTATTTTTTAATATAAAATGCGAGTTGCCTCTGTACCTCCGATCAATTTAAAAAAAAAAAACAATCATGGAAATCTTAGAATGTAAATTTTTTGGATATTGTTGGCTTATCAAGCGATGGTTTCGGTGTGTCACTCAAGATTCATTTTTTAGACTTATCCCTAGAATTTTTTATGAGAAATTAGGAGCTGTGAGCAACAAGGTTAAATCAAGACAGTTTTAAGAAAAACATTACCAGGTCAAATGAAATCCAAACTTGTTTAACAAGTTTGGATTTTATTTGACCTGGTAATGTTTTTCTTAAAACTGTCTTGATTTAACCTTGTTGCTAACAATGTTAGCAGATGACTGATGGCAATCAAAAAACACCAACCAGGAGCTAAATGTAGCTTCATAATAAAGCAGTAACTCCTTAACAGTTTTAGTTAAGGAGGTAGTTGTTTTTTGCAAATATTTTAAATTACTTCAGATAATAAAGTTCTTGGCTAACAGTTTTTTTTTTATAATGTTTGTTTTTACTGACCTTTTTACTGACCTATTAAAGTATAAATTATTATAAAAATACAAGTAGCACAGCAAAATTTGAGTTTTGCTTACCAGTATCATTAAACTTTCAAAAGAATTACCAAAGTTCTACAAAAATATTGATGGTTTTAATTAACACAAAGTAATATAAGTTTAAGATTTTATGGAAGCTATTAGTTGCAGGCATTATGTGGAATTTTAATAACATTCATGCTGTTGGTGTGTCGAATCTCTCTAGAAAAGAAAACTCAAGACCATTTGAAAGTCTGACAATGAATCACAATAAGTTTGTTGCTGCTGGATCAACTAAAAGCAAATAAGATGATTAAAATTTCTTTAAGTGTGACAACATGATAAAAACTTATTTGATTTGAAACTTCATTCAATGAAAATTCAATGAATAAGATTTCATTATATTTAAAGAATTTTAACTAGCCATTTAAGAAGTTTCAACAGTGTTAACTAAAAGTAAAATATTGGTCTGCAAAGTCAAACATTCGGATGCAGCCATTATATGGTGGCAATCCTGGTAAAGAATCTTGACATACTTTTAGGAATGACAGAAAAATCTTGACTAACTTTAAAGAACAGGCTGGAAAAAAAACAAACAGTACCAGTAACTATGACTCCTAAAGAACATTGTGACCATATTTCAAGAATTCAATGAATGCCATGGCATTCAGATAAATATTTGAATGATTAGGCAAAGGAAGTAAAGTATTCATTTATCATTACTTGGAAACAATACAAAAAAAAACAATTTCCATTCTGATTAAGGATCCAAGTTTTTGCAATATATTGTTGACTTCAACAGCAAATATTAGTAATGTAATTAAGAAACTATAATGCATAATAGTATAAAATTTGTTTAATATTGGTGTTATACAGTAGAAAGTGAGTGTCGCCCCAGTCATTGCGACCAACAATTTGGATTTTAAGTGGTATCCTACTGTTATCTTCCTGTGGTTGTTATTCTAGTGGAACAGTTTTTCATCACACAATGTGACTGTAAATTTGTACAAGATTCTCCATTCAGATTGTCTTGTTTTTTCCAGTAGTGGAATTTTTCTTATAGGACATGATTGAAGATAATACTTCAATATATTTATGAAACACAATAATAATAAATATAAGTGCTATTGTACTTCTATATTATTTGACTGCTATCTGGCAAATACAGATTCATATATAGTTATTAGCGTTTCTCAATGTGACAGCTTATATAATCTAAATCTTGCTAGATTCCATAAACTTCTAGAAGGCTCCAGAAAATTATGGAAAGTCTCAGATTTCTAAAAACATACAGATCAATCCAGAAAATTCTAGAAAGTTTCATAAGGTTCAAGAAAATTCTAGACTTTAAAAAGTCATAGTGCCACTGCCTGAAAATCCTATTTATATACCATTTTAAAAAGTACAATTTTTAAGTACAAGTTAATTAACTAAATTTTTAAGTAAAAAAAAGGCGCATAGTATGCAAATAATGTATATTATGCAAAGAATGCATAGATGTATAATAGAAAAAGCAAAAAGATGCAACCTTACGACAATAGGTGACTGGCTCAAGCTCGGTAGATAAAGCAAGTCCAACTACATTTACGATTTATTTTTAGATCTTGTCTGATAGTGAGAGGGTTTATTCATCAATATAGGAATGTCAATAATATAGCGGTAGTTGCCTTGCATTAAATAACTGAGTTGTTGGAATTAAAATCCACAATTCACTGCATGCCCCAGCCTTGCAAGCCTTAGGTAGTTGCCATAGTAACCTTAGGCTGTTACAGAAGAGAGATCAGATTAAAAATCAGCTTTTTATTCTAAGCAATCAAAAAGTGAAGACTTTTTGTAAAGACAAGAAAATATAAAATATAAGTATAAAATTGAGTTGTCAGCAAAAAGAGCCACTTTGGATGTAAAATTGCTAGGAAGATTGTTATTGTAGGTAAGAAACGATACAGGAGCAAATGTAGTACTTTGAAGTACTCTTTAGTTTATTGGTAATGAAGAAATGATTTAACTTAAAACTTTTATATAAAGAAACTAATAAAAGAGAAAAGGCTAATCATAGGATAATTGAAGAGGTCAGAGTGTTTTCGAAAGTTTTTAAATAACAAAACACTTATGTAAGACTATGATGGAAATGTTGCCTGAAACACAAGCAGTAGAAAGTTTTTATTGAGAATTGACTTTAGCATCGGAAGCCAGAGTGATTTGGATGTCTAACGATGGTTTAATATGTTTAACTGGAATATCAGTAAAAGTATAGCCATTAAATTCAAGAGTCAAATGAAAGAAAAAGGTCAATAACTCAAGTGCAAATAACTTCTTTTTTTATATGGATGTCTAACAATGCCTTTTTTTGGGAAAAATTAATACAATCAGCCCCATAAATTAGAGATGGAATTGCTAGACTTTGTTAATGACAGTCTTGAAGATTTTCCAAAAGTCTCTAGAACCTTATATCTGACATAAGCTACAAGATCTGATAAATTGAGACTAACGGAACTTAGCATCAGACAGAACTTTTTTACATGGGAATTGAAGGATAAAAAAAACTGATGTTTTTATATTAAATTGGTCTATCCATGTCAAACACCACCTGCATATAATAATATTTTCAAAAATTGCACATTATATCTACAAGAAGTGTAAAAAATAATTACACATTCAAACCAAGAATGGTAATTAAATAAAAAATTAGAATTGATTTCTAAATGCGAGCATAAAAATAAGTTTCTCTTAAAAAACTATAGAAAGGTATGAGAGTGAACTATAGAAAGATATGAGAGTAAACTATAGAAAGATATGAGAGTGAACTATAGAAAGACATAAGAGTGAATTCAAAAAAAGGTTAATAATAATCCACTTTTAATAGTTTATTTTTCAGTTTAAAGTTTTACATTTAGTACTTTACATTTATAAGTTTCTGTAATTTAATTTTTGATATAAATTGAAGTTTATTAACTTGATCATTCATTTCTGATGGCTTTAATGATGAAACAGTTTAAAATTAAAATAATTGCATAAGTGATTTTCTACTAATTTATTACTGCCCTTTTTTTTGAGAATATTGAGTGCACTATTTTGTAGAGTAAATTTAAAATTATTATTATTATTATTATTATTATTATTATTATTATTATTATTATTATTATTATTATTATTATTATTATATATATATATATATATATATTTTAATTTAAAGTTTTACATTTAGTACTTTACATTTATGAGTTTTTGTAATTTAATTTTTGGTATAAACTGAAGTTTATTAACTTGATCATTCATTTCTGATGACTTTATTGATGAAACAGTTTAAAATTAAAATAATTGTATAAGTGATTTTCTACTAATTTATTATTGCCCTTTTTTTTGAGAATATTGAGTGCACTATTTTGTAAAGTACATTTAAAATTATTATTATTATAATATATATATATATATATATATATATATATATATATATATATATATATATATATGTATATATGTGTATATATATATATATATATATATATATATATATATATATATATGTAATTATATATATATATATATATATATATATATATTTATATATATATATATATATATATATATATATATTTATATATATATATATATATATATATATATATATATATATATATATATATATATATATATATATATATATATATATATATATATATATATATATATATATATATATATATATATATATATATATATATATATATATATATATATATATATATATATATATATATATATATATATATATGAATGTTTAAAATATATATATATATATATATATATATATATGAATGTTTAAAATATATATATATATATATATATATATATATATATATATATATATATATATATATATATATATATATATATATATATATATATGAATGTTTAAAATTTTTAACAACAATTCTAATAAAAGGTTGCAAGACAGTGGTTGTCAATCAATCTGCAAAGCATTATTAATCAACCAAACTCTTACTCATTTGCATCTTGGTAGTAATGGCATTAGTGAAGTATCTATTGATCTGCTTTGTCAAGTATGTTAATAACTCTATAATTTTTCAATATTTTTTTATACAGAATCATAAGTAAACTTATATAGAAAACTATTAAAATATATTGTGCTATTGGTATATTAAAACATTAATTTACCTCAAATTAATCTGGTTTTTATAGTAGTTTTTTTTTTTAAATTAAAATTTAACTCTATAATTTATGTAAAATATCTAAGAATAAACTTTTAATTTGGTAAAGTATTTAATATATCTCTTTTTTTGTTTTAGTTTCATTAAACAAATTTCTTTTTAGGTTGTATTACATAACAAAACACTATTGAGTCTTAATTTATCATGTAATTCTATCAAAGAGGTAAATTTCACAATATATTGTTGATACTTAAAGCACTTTTGCTAAAAGTACCTAATAAGTTTTTTTGATTATTTCTAACTTAATTTCTAATTTATGTTTAATTTTTAAAGTAGTAATTACTTAAAGTAGTTAATACAATAAAAAATTGTTTTTGCAACTCAGGTGGAATTGAGTGTTGAATGTATAAGAAAGCTTTTCAAATGATTTTTTTCCAGTAATTATAAAAGTACATAAAAAAGAGTGTATACAATAAATGATTTCTCTCCATTAATTATAAAAATACATAAAAGTATGCATAAAATTATGTTTATATTTTTTAAAACAAGTAAGGAAAGTTAGTCAAGTTAGATGTGCAAACTTATGATAATAAGAATAGGTTCAAGTTTGACTTAACATAGAAGCAAAGATAAGGATTCTCTGTGTCTGCCTGAATTTAAGAGACAACAAAGATACTACCTATGTGCAAATAGTCACTGTTAAAACTCTGATATGCTACAGTTATTGATGGAATTCAGAGAAGCTCTTCTCTCAAAGCTGCCACATCATACTACAAGCCACCTTGAATTCAATAAATTAGTAGAGTTAATATAAAGTTACATAGCTCAAAAAAGAAAAAAAAAGGAGCCTTAACAATATAAGTTGAGAAGATCCAGCGTTTATTATCTTAAGTATATAACAGTGTAATGTAATATCTGCTTCTTTCCAAGTATTGTACTTAAGCGACTTGCTACTAAACAGTAGTATCTAGGATACACTTTACACAACCCTCTGAATTTGCCGACCTCAATTTTTTTGAGCGTGGCATCAGGTTGGAAAAAATTGTTTGGTACAAAGCTCTGATTATAAAACATAGAAACGAGGTCGGCAATTTTTTACTGACCTCATACGCTTTTAGGTCGGCAACTCGGCATTGCCGAATGCTGACCCTAAAAGTAAAAACAAGACTAAATAAAAAAGGTTGAAATAATTTTTTTATTTTATCGAGTGGACAAGGAAAAATCCGGTCAACTTTATATTGAGATTTCCCTAAAACTATATACGCTATATAACTATATTTCTTTTATTTATCATTAGTTGTGTTGATAAAATTTTGTTTATAAATCAATGATTTGCAAAATGTTTCAGGAGCTAATTGAAGTGCATAATAAAGTTGTAAATTTTTTTTTTTCAAAAATCCATTGACTTCATATCGCTTGATTGCTAAATGTACAAATGTCTCAAAATCTATAGTCATAGATATTATAAATAAGTTTTAGACTACTCAAAGCCTTAAATAAAAACCTGGAAATGGAGGAAAAAAAACTTTCCATAAATCCAAAAAGGTAAAGTTGATTCTCAGCTCAATAGAAAGAAATTATCTCTTATAGAAAAATAGAAAAATCTCTTATAAAAAAATAGTCTTATAAAAAAATAAGTCTTATAGAAAATATATAAATATAGAATATAATAGAATATAAATATATATATATATATATATATATATATATATATATATATATATATATATATATATATATATATATATATTATATATATAGAATAGAATATAAATATATATATATATATATAGAATAGAATATATATATATATATATATATATATATATATATATATATATATATATATATATATATATATATATATATATATATATATATATATATATATATATATATATATATATATTAGAATCCCCCTATCATCGTACATCTTACAACTACCTTAAAGCTGACTAGGACTCTTTCCGTGATTTTCTTCGTGATGACCCCTGGGTAGAAATCTTTTGTCTTCCTGTTGACAAATGTGCTTCTTACATAACTTCATGGATTCAGGCTGGTATTAAATCCTTTATTCCCTCTCGACGATTCCAGGTCAAGCCTTACTCTTCTCCATGGTTTTCCTCACATTGTGTTGCTGCAATTGCCTATAGAAACCATTACTTCCATATCTATCAGCAAAACAATTCTCCAGAAAACAGACGTTTGTTAATTACTTTTGTTTCTTTATTAACCATTGTGAAAAGGTTTTGTCTAACGCCAAAGCCCGCTATTTTTAGATCATAAAATCTCCTATTTCATCACAAAAATTAGGCTATCGTGACTTCTGGAGAATCTTTAACAGTATCAATAATAAGGGCAGGTCTGTAATTCCACCTCTTTTGTATGGTTCAGACTTTGTCACCTCACATAAAGACAAAGCTGAATTGTTTGCCAAGAACTTTTCATCAATATTATCTCTGGATTCAACTAGTTGCGTTCTACCTGATATAGCCGTCAAACAGGTTGATCCACTGCTCGACATACATATCACTCCAGCTTCTGTATCTAAAGTGATTTCCTGCTTAGACTCTTCTACAGCTTGCGGCCCGGACAACATACCTGTTATAGTCTTGCAGAAGTGTTCTCCGGAGCTGTCGTCTATCCTTGCAAAACTATTTAACAAGTGCTTATGAGAGTCTTGTTTTCCAGCCTGCTGGAAAGCAGCATATGTTATCCCTATTTTTAAAAATTCTGGAGAGTGATCTGATTCGTCTAACTACCGTCCCATTATTCTTCTTCCTATCATAAGCAAGGTTTTTGAATCTTTAATTAACAAACACTTAATCTCTTATCTCGAATCTCATAACCTACTTTCTGATCATCAATATGGATTTCGATCCTCTCATTCTACGGCTGATTTGCTATCAGTAATAACTGTTAGGTTTTATCGCGCATTAGATAAAGGTGGAGAGGTTAAGGCCATCGCTCTTGACATTTCTAAAGCGTTTGATAAAGTTTGGCATTCTGGTCTTCTCCATAAGCTTTCTTCTTATGGTGTATCTGGAAACATCTTTAAGATTATCGAATCCTTCCTTTCCAATCGTAGTATAAAAGTTGTCCTTGATGGACAGCACTCTTCTTCTTATTCTGTAACCTCAGGGGTTCCTCAAGGTTCAATCCTTGACCCTATACTCTTTTTAATTTACATTAACAATCTTCCAGATATCCTCACATCTACGGTGGCATTGTTTGCTGATGATACTACCATTTATTCTTGTCACGATAAGAAGCCAACTCCCTCTGATTGCTTGCAGGGGGGCATCTGAGCTTGAAAAGGATCTCACTTCTGCTACAGCATGGGGCTCACAGTGGCTGGTGAACTTTAATTCAGATAAAACTCAATTTTTTTAATCCAATCGTCATTGCAATAATTTAGACCTTCTAATAGTCAATATATGAACGGTAATGTACTCGATGAGTCTCCTACACTTTATCTTCTAGGATAAACTCTTACTTCTGATCTTTCTTGGAAACCTTATATCAAATCCGTTGCAAAATTAGTATCTGCTAAAGTTGCTTCTCTTTGTCGAGCTCGACACTATCTTACTCTGGATTCTATTCTCTATCTCTATAAATATTAAATCCGGCCTTGTATGGAATACTGTTGCCATATCTGGGGCGGATCTTCTAATGATGCCCTTTCTCATTTAGACAAGGTGCAAAATTGCATTGTAAACATAGTTGGACCTGCTCTTGCAGCCAACCTTCAACCTCTGTCACTTTGTCGTAATGTTGCTTCTCTTTCTCTTTTTTACAAATACTATAATGAACACTGTTCTAAAGAGCTAGCGTCTCTTGTGCCATCTACTAAAATTCATTCTCGTGTTACTCGTCATTCAATTAAGTCTCATCCTTTTTCTGTTACTGTTCCTAAGTGCTCCAAAAACTCTTATTTGTCTAGTTTTTTTCCTCGAACATCAGTTCTTTGGAATTCGCTTCCTTTATCTTGCTTTCCTGATTCATACAATTTGCAATCTTTTAAGTCGTCTGTCAATTGTTATCCTGCTCTACAATCTTCATCTTTTCTCTTCCAGTAACTTCCAACACTAATTAGTGGTTGCTTGCAGCCTTGTTGGAAGCGAAGATAATTAAAAAAAAAAAATCTAAATTAGTAACAGTGAGATTTAGCAAGAAAATCAAGACTTAGCGATCTTATGTAAAAAAAGTATTTTAAAATGCTGGAATTAAAGCTTTTCATAAGAAAAAAACACATACTAAGAGAAGCTTAATTTTTAAAAGTTAGAAAACTCGACGCACAAAGAAGTTGGTTAAAATGATGTCAGATAAAAATATGTGCATAATTGAAAACGACGAAACACATTGTAAGGCTGATTTTCCACACTTTCCTGGTCAACAATTTTACTATGAGAACAAAGATAAACCTGTTGATGATCAATTTAAATATATTCAACGAAAAATTTTTCCATCCAAGTTCTTTGTGTGGCAAGTAATATGTAATATAAACCCTAATTGAAGTAAACACTTTTAATTTGAATAAAAAGTTTAAATAAAAACCATTTATGGTTTTAGAGAAACCTCAATTTAAAGTTGACCAAATTTTTCCGTGTCAACCCGATAATTTTGTATCTTCAAACATTGCTTAAATACTATTTGTTATTAAATCTCTAACTCTTTAGCATGGATGGCAGTTAATTCTTTCTGACTAACTCATTTCTTTGTAAGTGTGAAATTCTCTTGCGAATATTCTTTTACCTAAAGTTAACCAAAATTTTTTTTTCTAACCTTTGCTAAAATAGCAAATTAAGCAAGACAGCAAGGCATGAAGGAGTTTGCACTAAGTTGCGTATACACTAAATAGGAGGCTTTTCCTAACCAGACTACACGATGCATAGGAAGATGCTCTGAGACCTTGCAACACATCCCCATAATTTTTTTGTTTGTTTATTATTAGAAGACTCTTCCTTATTTCAAAAATGTAAAAAATAACTTTTTTCACCGGGGGGCTAGGAAGAAATCTCGTGTTTTAGGCGATTGTCTAGTAATTTTGTTGTTCAAGATAGGTAACTAAGAGCTATGTGGCGTACTCAAATTTTTAGTATATTGTGAATATATTATGAATTCCAAATGAGGATGATTTTAGCAGTTCCAAATGAGGATGATATTAGTATATTGTGAAAATATTATGATTTCCAAATGAAGATGAATTGCAAAAAGTTTAGGTAATTGAAGCTAACCCAACCCCATCCCGACCCCATTTTGCCCCCTTCCTAGAACTACGTCTCCTAAGTTGATAAAAATATTTTTTAAGTTCCATCATAAATTAGACCAAAATTTATCGACAGATTTCAAAAAATATCTTTTTGTTTAAGATTTATGACCATAAGAAGTTCAAAATTCCACAAGTTTACCCCCTGAAATAACTTTGAATGCTCGTAACTTTTAAACTATATATTGTTTTTTGATGAAATTTAAAATCTGTCGATGAATTTTGGTCTAGTTTAATATAATAAAAAATAAATTTGAAAAATTCTATTAGGGAACCACTATGGATGGGGTATTAGGGGTCCAATAGGGTTAATTACAACTACTTTATGGCCGTAAAAAAAAAAAATTTCGGTCTATTTGGTAAAATTCTTTATATTTTGCATATCATATATAATCATATATTAAGAAATTATGTTAAACAGTTGTTCAAAAGAGCTTAATATTATACTTTTACAAGCTACCTGCAAATTGAAAGCTACTTTAAAAGCGTTTGTAGTTGTAAGCAATAACTGCGTTTTTTAACGCTTCAATATAGTTTGGGCTGTGTTCTCTAACTTTCCTCATTCGCCTAAACTGATTGAAATCCTGGTGAATGGATTCCAGAGCGTGTTCGGTCCAGTAACCTAAGTGTACAGAATATCAAATGCACAAAATAAGTTTTAGTCTATTTAATGAATAATGGTCAAAGTTTATGCAAGTTTAAACTTGCATAAACTATTGTATTATTGTAATAACCAGTATTTAATTACTTTTATTATATTTAAATAATATTAATTTAATTTTTTGTCAAACTTAAAATTTATTTATCATACCGAAGACTGCACCTTTCATATCGATGAATTTGATAATATGTTGCTTAATTATGTGTACTTTCGAAGGAATTGTAATCCCTAGATTTCTATAGCTCATAGACAACTGCTCTATATCTTTGACATAAGTAGAGCATAATGATTATTCAAAACAGCCATGGACTACTTTTTCAAAATCTCGAAGTACCTTAATTTATTTGGATAAGGGATCTCCAAGACTGAACTCCTGAAAAAACATCTCAAAGCTGTCTATGTTTTTAAGCAACTTATTGCAAGTATTGCCTTCTAAACGATGCTGCCCTCGGTAGGATACTCTTCAGATGTTTATTGTAGACAAATATTGGTTGACAAACTGTAACCCACACTCCTTGTTTTAATGGAAATTGTTTTCAATTTCTTTTAAAATTTTGTCTATAACATCTAAAAGTATATGTAGACTGGGAATATTAACAAGTTCTATTATTTTTTTATTTTTGTCGTCTTTTTGTCTATTTATGTTAATAAAAGAGATCGAACAACATTTATGAACATTTTTGCATTTTTTTAATTTTTCCACCATCAGGTATCCATCGGTCAGTATAATATAATATATTATACTGGCCATTTTGCCTTTATTGAACGAAAAATACCATAATCTGCGAATAATTTTGGATAAATTGAATATTTCTTTATTAGATTACACAGTATCTGAAGCTATAAAGGTATTGCTTCAAATGGTTGGAAAACAAACTTCAACATCAAAGCACCCTTGTAGGTTTTGCATGACCTCATCTCCAAGCTTTCAAAAAGCTGATCATTATTTTTTAGAATCTTTGTGCAGATAATATGACTGTTATTTCAGGGGGTAAATTTGTGGAATTTTGAACTTCTTATGGTCTTAAATCTAAACAAAATATTTTTTGAAGTCGTCGATAAATTTTGTTCTAATTTATGATAGAACTTAAAAAATATTTTTATTAGCTTAGGAGACGTAGTTCTAGGAAGAAGGCAAAATGGGGTTGGGATTGGGTTGGGTTAGCTTCAATTACCTAAACTTTTTGCAACTCATCTTCATTTGGAATTCATAATATTTTCACAATATACTAATATCATCTTCATTTGGAACTACTAAAATAATCCTTATTTGGAATTCATAATATATTCTCAATATACTAAAAATTTGAGTACGCCACATTAGTTACCTATCTTGAACAACAAAATTACTAGACAATCGCCTAAAATACGTGATTTCTTCCTAGCCCCCCGGTGAAAAAAGTTATTTTTTACATTTTTGAAATAAGGAAGAGTCTTCTAATAATAAACAAACAAAAATATTCTGGGGATGTGTTGCAAGGTCTCAGAGCATCTTCGTATGCACCTTGACAACATATTTTAATAGTAAAATATATTAAGTCTAATTAATTATTACTTGAACTTTTTTCGTATGCTATTACAGGATAGATCAGCTAATATCATTTTTAGGAATATATAGAATAGTGTTGTTGGAAAAGAAAAAAAAAAGAGTTAATATTAGCGTTTAAATAACGTTATAGAACTTAATGTAATAAATTTATAACAATAATTATATTTTTATTTATTAAGAAAGCTGGAATATCTCTTCAAGAGGCATTAATGGATAACTCATCTTTAGTTGATTTGGACTTGCGTCTATGTGATGTCAGTATTTATTGTCTATACAATATCAATCAACATTTAAAAGCAAACAGTGAGAAGAAAAAAGAAAGATATATAAAGCAGTTTACATATTGATTTTAAAATGTTAAGTTGAAACGTATTTTTTTAAAAAATTTTCTACTATATGATATTCACAAAAAGTTTGTAAAAGTGATTAACTTTTTTATTTAATAAATTTAAATATAGTAATTTAGTTAAGTTTATAAACTCATTTAGACAGTGATTATCAGCTGATAATCGGACTGAGACCGGAAGAGTCTCTGATCCTTCAGGTACAACAATTTAAAGACAAAAAAATCTTAATCTCAAAACAATTAAATCTCAAAGCTTATTACGCACCAACATCCTAAAATTTTTCATATTAATGTAAATATCTTTAATGCTGATTTAAATAACGTCTTTAACATTAATTTTATCTAATATTTTTAACTTAATAATATTTTATAAAGCTATAGTGTGGGAGTGTAGCGGTTGATTTTTAAATTAAATTTAAAAATTCGCTTGGCTTCTGAATTGATGTTATTCTAAATCTACCATATGTTGTCTAAAATTTATTTAAAAATAGTTTTTAACACAAGCGTGTTGTTAAGACAACACAAGCAACATCGATTTTAACAACACACAGAGAATGTGTTTTAGTATTGCTAACAAAGTTTTTGATTGACAAGACATGATAATTGTATGTAATGTCAAGTGAGCTTAACTTAACTTTTAATAGCATATTATGCATGTTATTATATGCAAATCCTAACAAATAGGAAACAAATTAACAGATAGGCATTTAAATTAAATATTTAGAGGCCCATGGTTAACTTTTTCTTTGGGCCCTGCAATTCCTAACTATGCCACTGAATCAGGTCTAGTTTCCAAGTGAAGCACAAAACTGGAACTAATTAAGGCAACAAAGTCAATATATATATATATATATATATATATATATATATATATATATATATATATATATATATATATATATATATATATATATATATATATATATATATATATATATATATATATATATATATATATAAAGAACAAAGAAATTACTTATGCTAGTAGTTATATTTGTTTTGTTTTTGTTTTTATATATTCGTCATTATTAATGTAAGTTTGTATAACATTTTACCGTAAAATATATGACTGGAGCAAGTAGAAGACAATAGTCTTATCATCTTGCCCCATTTTTGTCGTTGACAAAATATAATAAAATATTTATAATACATATGAATTTTTTTTTACAATGAACATCATTAAATAACCAAGCAAGTAATATAATAAAATTTCAAGAAAAAGTGAAGATTTAAATTGAAAAAGGAAAAATTTTAAAACTTAAAAAAAAATTTAAAAATAAGAGATAGTTTCATTAATGTTGAGGTCTAGTAGCTGTTGTTTACAACGCATTTAAAATGTAGGAATGAGTTTATTGTTTTTTATTTTGTTTGTTAGAAATAATTTCCACAATAGGGGTCCTCTGCTGTATATTGAGAATTTAGATTGTCTTAAAGAGGTTTTCGGAATATAGTAGTTCTTGATAGAGTATTTTGTTTGATATTTGTGATTGATAAGGCAAAAATAGTTATGGAAGACTTCAGGGACCAGATCATTTTTGAGTTTAAACATGAACTGAAGAATGCAATATTTATTTTGTTCGTAGATATTAAGAACTCTCAGTTCCCTCGTTAAATATTTAGAATTAGCATTTCTATTTGCGTTTGTTAATATACAGCACGCTTGTTTTTGTTTTTTATATATTAAATCTAGTTTTGATTGGTAGGTACTAGCCCAGGCAATAATGCAGTAGTTAATATAGCTATGTATATATGCAAAATAAAAACTAATAAGGCATGCATTATTTAAAATATATCTGGTTTCATGCATAATTCCAATGTTTTTAGATATTTTGTTTTTTTTTATATTAATATGGTCTTTCCAGCTAATATGTTCATCTAATAATACCCAGAGAAATTTAACTGAGAACGCTCGATTTAGTCTAACTTTGTCTAATAGAATATCTGGAAGTTTTAATGGTAGTTTGTCTGAATTGTATGGTTTTGTGAATAAGATATAACTACTTTTCTCAATGTTGACAAAAAGTTTGTTTGCTTTAAACCAATTGCTCAATTCTTCAAGTTCCTGATTTACTGTATTAAAAAGTGTAGTAATGTTAGAGTCGGTATAGAAAGCTTGAGTGTCATCTGCGAAAAGAATGAAGATCAATATCTGGAAGATAAAAATATGTCATTTATATAGATTAGGAAAAGCAGAGGTCCTAGAATAGACCCTTGGGGAACACCACATGTGACGATTTCAAGAGGAGTGTTTATTTTATTGGATAAATAGTTGCTAATATAATTATGTATATATATATATATATATATATATATATATATATATATATATATATATATATATATATATATATATATATATATATATGTATGTATGTATGTATGTATGTATGTATGTATGGTTAACTACTTTTATTTATTTATTTTTTTTTTACAATTATTTCTGTTCGGGCAAAGAGCCTGAAATTACACCAAAATCTACAAATACACTGTTTTTCATCGTTTAACTAAAATTTATAAAATATAAACTTGAACTGTTATACACTTGCTTACTATTATAAGAATTTAAAAATAAAATCAAGAATACCCAATTGATCGTTGTAAGGTTGTTTATAAGATTTTTAGATATTTTACTGTCTCTTGTACGTAAGCGAATAAACCCCTTTTGTTTGTTATATCCACACAATTTCTTTAGAGCCTCCGTAACAAATGTTACTGTTGTTTCCGCAACCTGTGGGTGGCACGAAAACTTTGTAAAAGTCCAGTCGATCGAGTTTGGTTCGATCAGCATTTTTTTTTAAATCTTCTTTAATTACATTGTTAGTACTGTTGGATGACCAGTCGGTTAGACCGTTTATTCTATTAAATTGATTAGTCGTTCGTTTCAAAGTTTATTTTCAGAGTATAAAATTTTCTTCTCCTAACGTTTCCAACCATCTTAATAGATTCTTGTGCTTTTATGACTCTTCGAACGCCGAGGGCTCTGATATGTGTTCTCTTTGCAGTTAGCATTGCAAGCAGAATGTTTTCTGTAGATGCAAAGTAAGCATTTCGAAAAATTACTGGGTCAACGACGCTGAGGTTAAATTGATCCAAGTATTTTGAAAATTAAATGAGATAGTAAAGATTCCGCGCTCCATCCTTTATTGAATAATGGATTTTGATTCAAAATCAAGATAGTACATACACCCTAACAACAAACTCCACTATAATATGTAAGTTATCTGATAATTCTGTAACAAAAACACTTAATATTCTGTTGGCTGTTGTCAACCAGCGGGCTTTGTTTAAGAGGCCTGATTCATGCTAGTAAGACCTGGAGAACATATGTCTGAGCTAATGGCGAGAGCAATATCTTTCAGATACCTCTAATCTTTAGTCTACCTTTTCTCAAATTCGGTATATCAACTAATGGCAAGGTGCTGTTAAATGGCTATTCTATATATTCAAAGATTTTCCAATGCAACCTGTGTAGAAATTAGTCTGGAAGTAGGACCAGTATGGAAAGTAACTCGGGCACCATCAAGGGAATTGAACAAGTGGCGAAAAGACAATTCTTTGAAATGCTGTTGTCAAACTGCCAATTGCACCAATCTACCGATCCTCAGTTCAAGACAATCCAGTATCTTATTATGAACTTCAGTATTTTTAACCGTTGCATCACACCCCAGAGCAATAACATGGTTTAAGCGTTAATTGATAATGCTTTATCACGTCGGCCGTCAAAGTAAAGACCTAATAAGTAATCATTATCAATGTTCGAACTTTTAATTTGATGTAAGTGCTCTACAAGCTGCTATTTCTATTTGAAATAGCAGCTTGTAGAGCACTTACATCAAAAAGAATATCAAAATACTACATCAACTATATAACTGTATCAAAAAGAAAACGTGATTCTTCTCCACTCGTACTTTAGTTGCCATGCTTTTCTCTATTTTTTTTAATACTATATATATATATATATATATATATATATATATATATATATATATATATATATATATATATATATATATATATATATATATATATATATATATATATATATATATATATATATATATATAGTATATATATATATATATATATATATATATATGTATATATATATAAATATATATATATATATATATATATATATATATATATGATATATATATAATATATATATATATATATATATATATATATATATATATATATATATATATATATATATATATATATATATATATATATATATATATATATATATATATATATATATATATGCTAACCTGGTACTGGCCTAGAAAGTTGTTTTTTATGTACTAATTTAGGAAAGTATTTACTTTTATGGATTGAACAATGTCTTCCACCCGCAACTATTATTACAAAAATTAGCAGGCCCTATTATTATTCAAAAAAAAAGTTTTTCAAAATTATGTGATGTAGGTACTCAAATAAAGCGAAATTTTATAAAAATTTTAAAAATAATTTTTTCATATGAAAATTATTTTATATTAAAGCATATATATATACCTTTCATATAAAAATTATTATTTTAGATTTTATTGCATAATAACTATAGTTTTTTAACTAAAAGTGAAAAAGGTGCGTTTTTACAATTTTTTTTGGCAATATGATTTTTATAAAACGATTATTATTTTCGAATTTTTTATAAAATTTCGCTTTTTTTCAGTACCAGGCTGACCTACTTTTGAAAAACTTTTTTTGTCCAAAATATTAGGGTACCAGTAATTTTCCCAATAAATTAATATTTGATAGTATCAATATTAAAAACTATTAGCAATGTTTAGAGCCTGTAACAAGAAAAAAATTTAATGACCCCTCCTAATATATATATATATATATATATGTATATATATATATATATATATATATATATATATATATATATATATATATATATATATATATATATATATATATATATATAAATAAAAGCAGACTTGATATCGGTATAACTTTTATGATACATCAGTAACACGTTTTCTTAAAACTATCAGAATGGATGCATCAGAATACAGTTGTTGCA